AACCCGTCTTGTATTTTCTTATATTTACAGTTATTGATTATTAGAATATTAATTAATTTTTTTAAAAAATGTTATTATTATTAGTTAATTAAAAGGTTAACAAATACTTTTTAATATTGTACTTAAAATTTACCAAATTGGAAAAATGTTCTTCTTTTTCAGAACTTTAAAATTTTTTGTTTAAAATTTGTAATTAATTTTGAAAAATTTAATTTGTAGTACTAATTATTTTAGTAAAAATTATGGAAACAATAATATGAACAGTGTATGGTTAATCTTTTGCATTTGTATGACATATTGAATTACAGTCGAATCCGCTTTTTACGACTTCGCTTATAACGACTGTCCGGTTATAACGACATACTTGAACCCTTTAGTTTGGTTTACATTGAAATTACTATAAGCATGAGTCCGTTTACAGCGACTTCGTTTATAACGACCATCTGCTTATAGCGACGTATTTTTATTAGAAATTGGTAAAATTCGTCCGGTTATAACGACATATTCTAAATTTATATACAGATAATTGCTGTTTGAGCCGTTTAATAAAGTAAATGAACTAAGCTTTGTATACAAATAATGTCTATGTATGAGCTGTACCTTCTTTTCTCTTATATTTTTCAATATTTAAGTTATTGAATTTAAATCAGTTTCGTGTTCTCCATCAACTGAGAAACCTTGCTAATAACACGCGCGAAAATGTCAACGCCTAAGCGAAGAAAGTGCTTCTCAATTGAAGAAAAAAGTGTTATTATTCATAGATTAGAAGCAGGAGAATCTAATGCATCCCTTGCGAAAGAGTTTGATGTGTCTCATTCAACGATATCAACAATATTCAAGAATAAAAATAAAATTGAATCTGCTGTTAATTCAAATGTTTTTAAACAAAAACGCATGAAGACATCTGCACACGAAGAAATTGACAAAGCGTTATTACAGTGGTTTAAGGTGCAACGAAACCGAGGGATTCCTGTGAATGGACCTATATTGCAGGAAAGGCTACTTTATTTGCATCGCAGCTTGGCATTTTAGATTTTACATGTACACCGAGTTGGATTAATAGGTTCAAAAGTAGACACAATATTGTCGCCGGTAAGATAAGTGGAGAATCTGTGTCGGTTAATAAAAGTGATATTCGGCCCTTGCGCAAGGAAGGGGAGAAGCAGCGAGGATGCAAGAACTAATCTTTGACGCTGAGTTGTGTAAAAACATGCTCTGACATTTGTCAACTTATCTCAAAAACGAAACAACATTTTTTAAGTCTTAAAAATTACTTTTAAAGCTAAGATCTTAAAGATTATGTTGTAGGAGTTACAAATTTTTCCTTGCATTTTCCTAGATTATGCAGGGAATCAAAAACTGGGTACGAAATTGGGAAAATTAGACGTTTTTTTTCGAAATCTTTCCAGTGTTATAATCGGTCCAGAAAGTCGAAAAAAATTATAGGTATATATTCACAAGCAAAATTTTATCAGCTTTCAGGTGATCTAAGTTTCAAGTCTCTAGCTTTTCTCAATCTTAAAATATCTTAATTTAGGTGCGACATCAACATTTCATCCCGCGCACGTCAATCGTACCGACAATTTCCGACGGTACTGTATTTTTAAGTTCCGAAAAGAACGTTGATTATGGAACTCCGTGGCCATCTTCGTCGCGAAAATAATGATTATTTTTGCTGACTCTTTTCATACTCTTGCAATATCTATTGCTATTAAGGGCACTTTTAAGAACGTACGTCTCTTGATTTTAAACATAATTTTGATTGATCTTGGATTTCATCCTAATTTAATTAATTTTATTTCGTTTATTGCCACTAAAAGACATATCTCTTTTATCCCTGATGGTTCTGATGGAAGATATTGTGGAATTGGAGTTCCTCAGGAAGGAGTTCTCTCTCCCTAAGGAGTTTACCATGTATGCCGATGACCTGCTTATCTATCTTAACTTCAAGGATCCAGCTTCTATTTTTGAAGAGTTTTCTCTTGCCATAAATTTATGCATTTGGCTTAGAGATTTGTGGATAGAAGTTGCTCCTATTAAAACCCGTTTTTATATTCTTAAAATCTAGACTCTCCTTTAAGAACTTCAACATGGCTTCCTTATTTAAAGTAAATTGCTAATCGAGACATTAAAGCCCATGGCATCTTAAAAATTGTTTCTAGGGTTTCTTGGGGAACAATTCAGATTCTTTCTCTTATGGTATATCGGGGCCTTATTCAAACTATCTTGAAGTGGGACGTTCCCTTATTTGCTGACTGTGCTCCTTCCAACCTTAAAATTCTAGACACAGTTCAGAATGCAGCTCTTAGAATCTCTCTAGACTGCATGAGGTCCACTGCTATCCCTATCTTGTTGAAATCTGGAGAGTCGCCTATTTCTCTGAAAAGAATTGTTATATCCAACTCGTTTCCATACATAAATCATATCATAAAGCTCTAAAAAATGTACACTGTTAATTACAATGTAGTGGTTTATAAGAGGTTTCAAAGACATCTGGCTAAAAAATATACAAGTGCTTCTTTACTTTAAAAATAAGCAGCCTCTAAAACACCTGAATAACATATCTAATCAAAAAAATTAAATTTTATCATTCATTCACCAACACCGAAAACCTGCAAATAACATGTTTCGAAGAAAATATTGAGTTTTAACAAAAATTGACCACCATTTTGGATTCGCCATTTTAAATTTTTAAAATCTTACTTTAGATTCGTATTCAGCGGCCTCAAAAACCCCCGAGTAACCAATTTCGAAAAAATCGACCACCATTTTGATTCCGCCATTTTGAATTTTGAAAATCTGACTTTAAACAATTTTTTTTATCAAGCCAATTTTCGGCTAGAGCTCTGTTCCGTTTGAAGTGGAACGTCCCATAATTATTCAAAATCCTTTCTTAAAAAAACAGTGGTGCACTAAACTCGATAAATCTCGAAATAAGGAATGAGCATTGAGAATGTGAAATCTTAATAGAAAAGCGAAACTTATATCAAGATTAGAAATATATAGATGTAGCTGCAGTCGCTTCTTTCATGAATGAAAAATGAGCGCTATTATTTAAATAAATGAAAAATTACTACTTTCAATATAACTTAATATATTACGTTTTTGTTCATTTGTTATTAAAAAGAAAATATAAAAACTATTATTACTTTTCCTATGACAAATGAATTACAAAATAACTCTAATAACACAGGCACATAAAAAATAAAAAACTGTTTGGCCGAGACACTACACTAGTCTATTTCCATGTATTTTTCCCGATGAATCTGAAGTCAGAATTGTCAGATAAGTTTTTATTTTTATAATAAACTCAAAAAATTGCTCAGAAAGAAAAAAAATAATCAAAAAGTTAACAAATTTTTGAATATCACTGCGATAGTGTAATTCCATGTATTTTTTCCGCTGAATCCGAATCCAAAGTCAGAATTGTTAGATTCGCTCAAATTTTTGTGATAGTTGCAAAAAACTCAAGTAACAAAAACCTCAAAATCAATTTTTTGGAATTATCTTTAAAATTTGAGCCAAACTGTCAGTCCTGACTTTGAATTCGGATTCAGCGTGAAAAAATAAATGAAAATGCACTATCGTCGTTTTTCAGCAAAAAAAATTTCTTTCAGCTAATCGCCAAAAACTGATAAAAATCTTGAATTAGGGGCACAGAGAATTCTTTATGCCGAAACACTACGGTAGTGTATTTTTGTGTAATTTTTCCTGCTGAATCCGAATTCGAAGTCAGAATTGCCAGATTGGCTCAAATTTTAAAGATAATTCCAAAAAATTGATTTGGAGTTTTTTGCAATTATCTGAAAACTTTGAGAGAATCTAACAATTCTGACTTTGGATTCGGATTCAGTGGCAAAAAATACATGGAATTACACTAGCTCAGTGTCATTCAAATTTTTTTCACTTTTTGATTTTATTTTTCTTTCTGAGCAGTTTTTTGAGTTTATCTCAAAAATAAAAACCAATCTGACAATTCTGACTTTGGATTCGGATTCAGCGGAAAAAAATACATGGAAATAAACACATGGAAATACATGGAAATATCTAAATAAATAGACTAGTGTAGTATCTTGGCCAAACCACTTTTTATTTTTTGTGTGCCTGTGTAATTTAAATTTTTTAATTTTTCAAAATAGTAATTTCATTGAATAAAATTTTAAAATATAAATAAATTGAAATATAATTTTTTCGTTAATTTTGCGTGCAAAGAATTGTGAATATTAATCATTAAGTTTGATTTAACAATTGAATAGATAGCTCACAAAATTTCAAAATGAATCAATAGTCAGTTTTTTTTTAAAAAAAAGAAAAAATGAAACACTGTTCATTTTACAAGTTGAAAATGAAAAATATAAAGAAAGATTAAATGGAAAAATAAATTAATTATATGGTTCAAAATTTTTTAACGTCAATTATTATTCAATAATTCAATTTAAAAATTGATTTAATTGAAGTTTGAGATCCATTTTTTTTAAATATAAAAATATTAAACAATTTTCCTTGCATAGAAAATATAATTACAAATTAATAATTTCATAAAAATTGAATTGATTATTTAAAATTTATTATATAATATATATTGTTCAAGTTGGAAATTATATTAGAAGGTAAATTATTATTTTCATTAATTAAAAAATTTGAAAATCAACATATATTCAATATTTTTAAATTAAGAATGGAAGCATAGAGGTAACGTAGTCGACCGCGAAGCGGTCCACGGAGCCGCTAGTAAAAATAAAAAATTTATAAAAATACTTTAAAAAATAGTTATTAGTAGCAAAAGGATGAAAATAGTAATCAAATAGTACCTTTTAGTAAATAAGTGCTAAGCCTGTAGTTAAATAAATATTATTTCATAGGTTTAAAGTAGACATTAAAAAAAACAAATTTTTTGTTGGAATTTTCTCTTGTGCTCGTTATAGTAAGATTTTTGGTTTTCCTATACTTCTTCTTATATTGAGATTCAAGTGTAATTAAAAAGAAATTAAAAGAAATACCTTTAGTTTGCCTTTGTGAAATGCACATATGGATACTTGAAGACTAGCGTAACCACAATCTACAAAGACAACATTTCTAGGAGCTGTATCTACGGTAGGTAAATCTTGTTTGTAAATTCCATAACAAAGAGCTGTAGCTGTAGTTTCATTGAATAATCGTAAAACATTTAGGCCTGCAATTCTAGCGGCATCCAAAAGAGCTTGCCTTTCCGCTTGTGTAAAATAAGAAGGAACGGATATAACACAGTCATTGACAACTGTTTGCAAGGCAGTTTCAGATATGTCTTTCAATTTTGTAAACAACATAGCTGTAATTTGTTCTGGTGAAAATACATGTTCCTCTCCTAAATATTGTACCTGCAAATAAAAACATATATTTTATTTAAACAGATGTTTATGTTCAAGTTTAATAAATAACAAATTTAACAAAAAAGAAAAGTAACAATCTTATAACCATTAATTTATTCAACTCAGTTAATTTTTGTTAAGTAATCTAATCATTTCTGATTTTATGTTATTTTTATATAGACTTTTCTCATTTTGTGATTGAAACGATGAACAAAATTTAATTCTTTAAACATTTATTTTTGATTAGAATTTTTTGTCACCAAATATAAATTTCGTCACCTTCTTAAGAAGGTCATACAGAGGTTTACTTAGGATCAAAAATTTCTCTACATATTTTCGAAAATATTTCACGAGCCCCAGAAAAAATTTTCATTAAAACAAATTTTAGTTTATCTAATTTTAATTTAGTAGAAATTAAATTTAATTGATTGTTCATTTACTCAAATTTTGTAAACATATAATTAAAATATTTGCAAAACCCTTTCGTTTAAGTCTCAATTTTCTCAAAATGTTTGTTAGATTTGTTAATTTTAAATATCTTTCTCATTATTAAAACAAGATGTCACAATGAAATTGCTGAAAGTATAAAAAAACACCTACATGTATTCCGATGTTTCCATTTGCTTGTTGAGAAGTTTTGAAAGGCATACTCTTCATTTCTGTTTGAGCGAAAGGATCATTATACTTCCTTCCTAATAGTCGTTTAAAATTATAAATGGTATTTTTCATATTTGTAACCATTTGATTTTTAGCTGCTACACCTAGAATCCTATTTTTCCCACTAAATGCTACACATGATCTGAAACAAAAAATAGAATTTTATAATTTTTATTAGCAATTTCAGTGCTTTTTAATTAAAAAATAACATTTTCATCGATATTTTGGAAAGGGGAGCATCTGGGATTTTCTGCAAAATTGAATTTGATTATTTTAGATATTATACTTAAAAACATGAAACCATAATTTTGTAATGATCTGAATTTTTATTGACAAAGAAACCGCTCACCGGATGGGGGCAGAGTACTTGTGTTTACTAAATTCTTATTGGTGGCGTGAAGCTCCAAATATGTTCAGATTAATTTTGGAACTATTTCTAACAATAATCTATAGGAGAGGTGTAGTCATTAACGAGTCTTTCTTTAAACCTTCGAAAGAGAATATATTGTTTAAATAAAAAATAATAAAATATACAAAAATAAAAGTATAATATAAAATAATAAATGAACAAAAGAATCTATTCAATGCAAAAGATAAAGAATGAATCTATAAAACATTAAATCATAAGAAACTGAGGTTAACTAACGTCGAGCTTAACTACTATTGTTCGGTCGATAGCACTGCCTTCTACAATAATTTTCCAAACATTTCCCTGTTTACGTAGGTACCTTCACGATAACGTGGTCGCGTTCACCCAATAAATTGTCTAAATGTAAATGTAAGCTATATCACGACAAACGAAAACTAGGGCGGACATTCATAGGTTCATAGGACTCAAGGAAAAAATGGGAGGTAGTCAGTTGAGTTGAAGAGTCAGGTATGTACCGTAGTCCTTGATCCGCTTGCAGAAGACGGTACAGAGAAGTCGAGGAGACGGTACTCTACACGGAAAAAAATTGTAAGACGTGAACGAACGATTTTGGGAATATATTTAATATGAAAAAAGACACAACCAACGCTGGGAATTTAGCTTCACCGCAATAGTCGAATGTTTAGCCGATTCGGCTAAAGTGAACATGAGTTGAATCTCATTCGTCAGCCATATTGAAAATATTTGGAAATTTACCGTTCTTACCAAGAAATATTTCTTAAATCACAAATATCAAGTTTTGTGATCTTTAATTTTAAAACAGTTTTAATTTGAATTTATTTTCAATTGTTTGTAATATGGAATATAAAATTGAATAGATTTAAAAATACGCATTTAATATTACTCTCTACATAATTTGTCATATTTGTCATTTTTCGGTTATGTTGTTCTTTAACTAAAATCCAATATCGTCAGTCCGGTGATATTGCCAATATCGCTCGTTCATTTTTGACTAAATGTTTAGCTGTTTTGGCTAAAACATTCACCGGTTCAGTTGTAGTTTTTTTTCCGTGTAGTGATCGAGTTTATGACGTCATACTCGCATCCTTTCGCAGACGCTCCGCCAGAGAGGTCGCGAAGAGGACACACCAGGTACTAGAAAGGTGTCTTTCACAAACTCTCGCAGAAGTTCCTACAGAGAGTTCGTGAAGATGAGGAACAAGGAAGTCAAGGAGGCTCTTTTGACAAGAGGCTCCACAGACAAGAGTACCTTTCTTGCACCTGTTGCGCCTGTACCACCAACATAACAACTTAATTTTACTCAGTTTGTATATCTATATCTATTATATATAGAGATATACAGGTTGGGTAAAATTTAGTTGCTAGGTTGGTGGTAGAGTCGCTGATTGTTGTCATTTCTATTCAATGGAGTTGACCGGGCCTGCACCATCAGTGTTCAGAAAGAAACACCTCAACTGAACACCTAGTAGCCATGAGTGAGTCGCTTCCAGATGGCCAGAGTCGACTTTCAACTTACGAAAGTCGTTGAGAATCGAGTTTTCAAGGTCGACTTTTGTTTAAAATTATTTTTTGTATTTTACCTAAACCTAATAAATAATTTTACAAACAATTTTAAGTTCCCAGTAAAAAAAGTTGTATAGCAGAAGCCTGAATTCCGTATACCAACTCCTAAGTTGGTATACGGAATCCTGACTTTTCCGTATTTACATCCTTTACTGTAATACGAAATTATAAGGAGGTTGTATACGGACAACTTTTGCATGACTGTTAATGATGAAATACCAGTTTTAAGATAAAATGAATTCTTGAATATTAATATAGAATATTTAAAAAGACTAAATTATAAGGGAAAATGACAATTTAAAAAAAAATCTGTTCTGAACACGTTTAATTCTAATTTTATTAAAAGTGTAGTAAGGTACCCAGATGAAAGAGGCGTACTCCAGTATGGATCTAACAAATGTGAAATATAATACTTTTAATGTAGTCATGTGGTGGAAAACTGAAGCACACCTCATAACGAAATCTAATGATCTTAAACCTTTTGACACTATTTCGGAGATATGGTCATTAAAAGAAAAATCATTGCACAAAAGCAATCCCAAGTCTCGTACTCGAGGCACTCTGGAGAGGTAGTCCCGACCAACAGTGTAACAGTATATCAAAGTTTTTTGCTTAGAAAAAGAAATAACAGAGCTTTTGTTTACATTAATAGACATATGATTCCTGCCACATCATTCGTCGAAACGATTAAGATATTTATTATTATTTATTTACTAAATATGTAAGCTGTGACAAGAGTGAATTGATGGTAATGATTTACCCGATAACAATTATTAGTTACCGACAATAAATATTAATTGAACGCGATTTATATGAATTTTATTGTAGGGGAGAGTAGTCAGGGTTGGACAATGGTCAGGGTTGAGCCATCGCGTTTATTTTGTTTTATCACACTAGAGCCATCTGTCTTTGTATGTAAGTACACTGTAAAAAATTTTGGTAGATTTTCCTATTATTTCTTGTGTAGAATTACCAATTTTTGTAGGTAAAGTAATTTTCCCCAAGTATTTTTGTAACTTTACCAAATTTGTTCATTTTTACCCCAATGATTTGGAAAATTTTTCAAAACTTTGGGTAATTAGGGTAAGTCCGGGGGAGTTGGCCATAGTTTTTTTAAAGGTCTGTAAAAATAAAAAGAGAGTGATTTAAGTATTAACTTTTATTGATAATTAAACATTGAACATTTAACTTATAAAAAATGATAGAAATGAGAAATTTTTTAAATGAAAACAATCTTAAAATTAATATTTTTTAAAAAACGCGTTTGGCCATCTCTCCCGGAATGTACGGGGGAGATGGCCATAGGCGTACGGGAGAGATGGCCAATACTTTAAAATCAATTTTTAGCTTTTCGCTTTATCAAAATTTTTAATTTAAAGGGATTAAAGTCTTTTTTTCTTGTTCTGACTATATTTCGAACATTTATGATTAAATTCAGTGCAATTTTCATAAGCGCTGTCTGTTTGTCTGTCTCACCATCACAACAAGGCTACAAGGAAATTTTTCGAGATATCAGAGTGGTTTCTAATTTATTTTTGTGTCCTGAACATGATTCCGGGTTCTAAAATTACGTATCACGTCAGGATTTTAAATAAAGTGGGGGTAAAGTCTCCAAAAACCGTGTTTTTGAGTGTTTTCAGTATTTTTTTTCCTTAACCTGACGTGATAGAGACTTTTATATAGGCTTAAATTAAAGCTCATATCTTACACTTTAAGACACATAGGTATGCGCAAGATAAAAAAATTGAAATTTTGAAAAAAATTAGTTTCAAGTCACTTAAAAAGATTTTTGGGGTCATTACCCCCATTTTATCAAAATTTCAAAAAAAATTTTATTTTGCGCATATGGGTCTTAAAATGTACGTTTTAAACTTCAATTTAAGCCTATAGATAGAAGTCTCTAGCACTTCAGGTTAAGGAGAAAAAAATACTGAAAACATTCAAAAACATGGTTTTTGAAGACTTTACCCCCACTTTACTCAAAATCCTGACTTCATACGCAATTTTAGAACCCCGGATCGTGTTCAGCACACAAGAATACATTGAAAACCACTCTGATATATATATAAAAAAGTCTTATTTTGTAGACCTGTGTTATGATTGTTTATAAACGTTTTTCAGATTTAATTACACAATAGTGATTATTTTATTTAATCATATTTAAATTTGAAAATCTTTGTTGGAGTGTCTTGTTGTAATATATGTCATTTGCCACAGAATTAATGTTTTTTTAGCGAACATACGAATCTCAAGGGTGCCAATAACTTAAACAGTATGGCCATCTCACCTCGAAAAAACATGGCCATCTCTCCTAATGTCAGGAGACAAATTAACACAACTAAAATATAAATAAATAAATAAAATTTTTGAATATATATAAATTTATGACAAAGCTTGGGTCATGTACTTTACAGAAAAAAATAAAATTCAAAATTATTCTATAAAATAACATAACACCAGTGAGAAACGTAAACTCATCACTTTTTTCCGAACTAGTCAAAATAACAAATCAGATTTTTAAATACTTTTTCAATATTTTTCGTCAAGTTTTTTCTTTTAATTGTGTTTTGCCACAAAACAAAGCGAACTAATCTTTAATAAGCGATACCTAGCAGAAAATTCTATAAAATATTTGAATTGGCCATCTCTCCCGTATGGCCAACTCCCCCGGACTTACCCTACTTAGGAAATTTTTCAATTTTTGTTGGTAAAAGAGTTTTCCTAAAAGTTTTGGAAATTCTACAAAAATTGTGTATTATTACCCTAATTATTTTCAAAATTTTTTTTGGTAATTTCTTAGGAAATTTTTCAATTTTACTAGCTAAAGAATTTTTACCAAAATTTTGGTAATTCTACGAAACTTGTGTATTATTACTCCAATAATTACAAACATTTTTTTGGTAATTTCTTAGGAAATTTTTCAATTTTACTGGGTAAAGAATTCTTTCCAAATTTTGGTAATTCTACGAAACTTATGTGTTATTACTCTAATAATTTCAAACATTTTTTTGGTAATCTTTCAGGAAATTTTTCAATCCTTATAGGTAATGCAATTTTCACAAAATTTTTAGTAATTGTTCCAAACTTGTGCATTACCACTCTATTTGGAAAACTTTTATTTTTAAATTTGTTACCCAAAACCTTTAGGAAATTTTTCGAAGAATGCTTATATTTTTAAAAACATTTAT